ATATAAAATTTTGAATCTTGTGTTTAATTTGTACTTTTACTTGTATCATGTAAGAAATATAGTGATTTTATCCCAAGATTATACAACAATGATATTGTAATTATTTTTAAACGGAATTTTTATTTAATTAATTAATATCATAAATTTAATTATGATTTAATAATAAATGGGAAATTCATTTATTTTTTATCATTTTGGGGTGAATATAAGGTAGTATTTCTTCAAATGTTCTCAATCATTTGATATTGAACGTTCATACCCTTGCATAAATAATGCTCGAACCCAAAATAAAAAAATAACAACAATTCTTTAATTATTTAATAATAAATGGGGATTCATTCTCTTAAATAGAAACAAATTATCTTAAATTTTGTTTAAATTTAAATTTAAAATTTTAGGATAAAGTACACAAATGGTCTCCGACTATAATATATTGCTTTATTGAGTCACTCGACTATTAAAGTTATTGTAACACCCCAAATTTAATGAAATTAGGGATCAAATTTCAAGTTTTTGAAACTTACAGTTCAGTTTAGAAGCTGTAGGAAGTTTAGGAACTTAACCCTAAATTTTCCTTTTTGTCGACAGAGAAAAAAATAAAAAGAAATTGAGTTGGTGGCTGCGGGGATTCAAACACTTCTTCTATAATTGCCCATGCCTTAACCATTTAAGCTAGGGTATTGTTATGATATTTTTTAATTAAAAATCAATTTTAAAGGTTAAAAATAGATTAATACTCCAAATCCCTAAATGTTTCAACCCCAACCTATCGCCTCTTCATCTCCGATCATAGTTTGGTCAGTCGTGGCTTACACCGCCACCATCGGTGTGCTCGCCATCATCTAACGACTGCAAACCAGTCGTTCCCAAGCCGTGAAGTTCAACCATTTACCATGGAGAGAGCTACGAAGTCTCATCAAGAAACCAATCGATCGCTACTGTTTTCGTTATTTTTTGGTTAATTTCATCACTGTTGCACTGCACGATCACCACCATTGGACTCCCTATGCAGTTTTGATCAAAACCCCCTATCACTTCGTAAGGTGGTCGCGCTGTTCGACGAAATTAAACTGTTGAAGCTTCGACGGAAAGGACCCAACCATTTAGTTATTCGCGATTTTCTACCGCCTCACTCTTCGGTTCTACTCACCGCCACTTCCACTGAACTCCTCATTGTCGTCCGACCAAAGCTGTCGTCCATCGTCGCCGTTCTCGCCGTCCTTCGTGGGTAAGATTCTGATTGCTTTTATTCGAATATTTTCTCATATTTTGGCTTGACTGGATGTTAAATTGAGTTGATTTTGTTGTCTTGGTCCTTTCAAAGTAGTCAGCTGTCGAATATGACCCCGTCGCAGTCATCATGTGCCACTACGCACCGTTGCGTACGCGTGGGGCTCTCCCACACTTTAGGGAGCCTTCTAGAATGGTCCAATCATACCGAACTGGCCCGAACCAATTTGAACCGATCTAAACCGGGTTTGTTTGACCCGATCAAGTCAACTCACCTGAGTAAATTTGAATCGGTCTGACCCTTTAACCTTGACCAAAAAGTTAAATTTTCTGAAAAGTCATATTTTACGTTTTTCGATGTCCTGAGTTCGAATCTGAAGTATGCTTTGCCAAATTTGAGCCAGGTAAGCTGATTTTTCATTGATTAACCTCCTGATTCAATCAGTTTTTCGCAATAAAGCTCTGTTTCTGATGTAATTTCGATTGATATATATCCAAGACATTATGGAACATGATATTAAAGTTCGAGGCGATCAAATGGAGTTTAATTGGTTAACTGATATGGCTAAAAAATCGAGGTAATACATTATTATCTTATGTATGCTTTATATAACATGTTGGCATTGGTTAATGCATAGATGAATATGTTTGGTTACATGTATGTGTAATTAATATATTTGTAAACTCGATCCAAATGCGATGAAAATCAATTAAATTGATTAAGACTTAGATTACACGTATAAGACACTAAAAGACTAATAAGGAATAATTTCAGGTTCAGTGATTAACCGATAAAGCAATCAACCTCAGAATCTTTAAATTATACATTTTTTCTTTAAAAGCTTTAATATCGAAATCACCTGGTTTAGAAATTACGAGATTACCCCTATGAGGTAAAAATTGATATGGACTGACCCTAATAGTGAAAGTGCCATGTGAATTAATAATTAATCCGACAAACTACTAATTTACCTGTTAAATTCCTGATCTATTCAGAAAGTCACTGATAATCGGATCCTAACATCCGAGAAGGTACAAGACCTAGAATTATTGATTTATCAGCAAATAAATAAAGACTAAAACATCGGGAGAACTATTTATGTTTGAATTGTTCAGAAAATTGAATTGGAAAAACTGGATTAGAGGAAGTGACCAAAATACCCTTGAAGTGTAAAATGACCCAAAGTACCTTTACGCCTTTGAATGATTAAATACCCTCAAGCTCCGAAATGAATAAATTTACCTCGAATATCAGAATGATTTAAATACCCTCAAGACTTGGATTAAGCAAATGCCTTTGGATGGCTTCTGAAGATACCGATGAAGTTTTAAGTGCAGTAACACCCTTGAGGTTTATAGAGTATGACCCAAGTAGGTCAATCATCCCTAATACTGTTATAATACGAGAAGTAATTAAATATCACTTAAATACTTGTTCGTAACCTCATGATCCATCCAAAGATGATTCTGAAGGTGATCAATTTGATCTACAGTGCAGTTAGTTTTAAAAAATGAATAATAGTGAAGTTTTCTTTACCTACATACTTGATAAGTATCACCTTTGCTAGGATTTGTACAGTGTGATTGGAATTGGAAACCTGTTAAGATGCTTGAATTATGCAATTCTATAAAATCACTGCATACCCTTATTAAATTGATTTATCAAATTTCTCAGAAATCAAATAACTAAAATGTCCTTATGAGCCTGATTGATGGAAGCACTTGAGAAATGTCTGAATCCTATATAATTTTGATGCAATAATTCTTGAATACCTTGTTGATATATTTGAATACTATGATCTTGATAAATCACTTCTTGAATGACTGGAGAATCCGCTAGTTATCAAACCCTTTTTATAAGGATCTCATTTCTGAAGTTCAACCAGTTTGCAGAAGTTTTGTGTTTCTCCCACTTGATAATTGCTAAGTACCTCCGAAAAATAAATGGATCCTCTAGTGTATTCCATATGTGTTTTATCTTTTAACTATTCAATATATTGATATACTAATGTATTGATTTACTATTTATGAACTATTGCTACATGATATATGCTCTCTGGTTACCTGTTTTCACTGGAAAAATATAATCGTACCTGATTTATGAATCATGGAATCTATTATTTACTGTATGAATCGATTATTGGGATATTGTCTGGGTATGATTTTGAAGTATGGATTCATCTCTGATCAAGCTAGTAATTCCTTACGGACCTAAGGTATTCCTTGGGTAGGCTTTAAGACCCTCAGACACTCTCTTAGTATGGAGATTGTATTTTGGTGTACGGATGGATGACATTCATGTGAATTAAATAACTACATTGTCATTTTTACAACATTCTACTGGATCATGATTTTGATATTAAAGTTACTACTCAATATGATTTCTATTAGATACTGTATGGGTAGGAGTCTGGAGTATGGAGGTTCAACTCTGATCAAGCTGACAATTTCTTACGGACCTAAGGAGACCCTTGGGTAGGCCCATAGACCCCAAGGTACTCCCTTAGGGTGGATCATTTGTTGTGTGCTTAGGTAAGTCCTCATGGATGCAGTTCTGAAAAAACTGCATATATGTGTTCAGTTGGAGGGTATTACTGAGGTTTTAAAATATGTTTTAAACTACTACTGTTTTTAAAGGATCTATAAACATTTCTTCGTTTTGTTGGAACACACTAGACATCCTATTATGATCTCCTAAACCTGATCATCTAAACGTTTCCTCTGAACTGGAAGCTTCATGTCTTTTACTTGAAAAAATATCAGTGGGACCTCATCTCATCACAAAAACATGTAGAAGCCTGAATCAATAAGGAAATTTTTATGCTTGCATATTATTTGCATGTCCTTCAACATTCATTTGGTAGTTCTGTATTATTGAGTTTCCCAAAGCTCACTCTTTTACTCTCCATTTCAAGTTAAAAGAATTGATCCATTGCAGCTATCGACATCTATAATGAGAGTTCCTTTGGCTTGGGTTGAAGAGTACGGTACATGTGTAACTAGGGGCATATATATCACATTTGATTTTTATACTAAGTCTGAAACTTGTATTTTAATTATAAATTGTTTTATGATTTTACGCGTTTTAACAGAATTTTAATTTTTCCTAGATTTTTACTGTGGGTCGCTCCGGTGGCCCTAATATGACACCCCGGATCGGATCACCCGCATCAATCTGAGGGTGTTACAGTTATAAAATGGTCCCTCGAATATATGGTGTTACTTTGTTGAGTCCCTCTACTATTAAAACTTACAAAATGGTTACCCCAACTATTCATTATGTTTCAGGCTCGTCTTTTTCTATTAAAAAATTGATGGTAAACTGAGCTAAAAGTTAACCTGCTGACTGAGATATGATAAAATATGATCTCATAATCTCAAACGACTATCATATCTCAGTCAACAAGTTAATGTCCTGCTTAGACGACCGTCAATATTTTTAACAAAAAAAATACGAGTTTGAAACATAATGAATAATCGGGTGACAATTTTATAATTTTTAATAGTGAGGGACTCAACAAAATAATACATTACAATAATGAGATCATTTTATAACTTTTAATAATAGAAAAACTTAATAAAATAATATGGAGAGAATAAAATAATAATTTACCCAAAATTTTGTTATATTATAATGATAAATTAAAGGGTTTCGTTTTCCTGAAAGTTATTACTTCAGCGCTCAAAATCAGTCCACAATTTTATTTATTTATTCAGAAAAAAAAGAAATGAAAAGAAACTGAAACCTTCCGTGCTATATATAAACAGAACCATAGACTCTCCCAAGAAAAGAAAGAAAGAAAAAGACTGTTGTTTGTTTGTTTGTTTATTTGGTTAATCTGATAAGCCGCTGATAGAGCGAGAGGGCGATGGGGAGTGATGGCATGACCAGTGGAAGTGCCGCCGCAACCAGCTACGGCGGAGTACAGATACCGGCATCAGTGAAGAGAGTAGTGCAGAATCTTAAAGAGATTGTTAATAATAGCTGCACGGACTCGGAGATCTACGCCGTCCTTAAAGACTGTAATATGGACCCTAGCGATGCAGTTCAACGTCTCCTTTCTCAAGGTTTTCCCTCTTTCTTTTTCTTTGTTCTTTTTGTGTTAATGATGATAAAAGTTATGTGTTTTTGCTTCTTTTACGCCCCTTTGTTTGTTTGCTCAGAAAACTGAAGGAAAATAGAATGCATAACCTTTTTTCCCCTCTAATATGGTTCTTGTAATATTTTATAGGGAAAATATTTTAATTCTTTTAAAATAATTTGTCTCCCAATCTATCTTCTGTTTTTTTCTTCTTTATTTCTGCTCCATATGATAGTTGATAACTTAAAAATTAATAATTTCTCACTGTTCGAGTTCTTTGACTTAAAAAGCGTCAAATCTGCTTCTACTTAAAAATTAATAATTTCAAAAGTTGCTCTATTACGGCTAGAGGTTTAGCTATTTTCTTGCTGATGCATGATTCGTTCTTGACAGCCAAACGACTGAAAATTTAGTAACTGAAGTCATTGGAATCCTTTAATTATGTGCTTTATGGGATTCCACTCTTTCAAGTATAATGGAAGAACAATGTCAAACAAGGCTTTGACAATTTTTGGTGCTGTTTTCGAAATTTAAGAGATATTTAGTAAATTAATAGTTTTCATTTTGTAGATACTTTTCACGAGGTAAAAAGCAAACGGGAAAGAAGAAAAGAGGTATTATTCTGTTTAAAATGTGCTTAGTCTTTTTCTCCTTTATTGAATTACTCTTTTTGTTTTCTTTTTTATCTTTTTGCGATATATCTCAAAATAATGCATGATTTTTTATTCGACCGGGAATGTGATAGGTTATCTTTGGTTTGGTGCAATTATATATATGAAACTTTGGTTTTGACTCAATTATTAGCAGTTTAAAAAACAAATAAATCCAGTTATTTTCATGTTGAATAAATATAATTGTTGGTGTACGCAATGAGTAAAATGGTGTCCGCTCAATAATGGTGTTATTAGTTTCTGAAAATTGAACTTAAATTATAGACTTATTACATTTATTCAGTTTCACTTTCAGCAGATCAAGGTTTATGTATCAGTTTTCTTGTTTGATCGAAGTTCATGTGTAATTTCAGGATTTATTCTTTTCTATTTCATGCTTCGAAATATGATTTGTCTCTTGATATGTTATCAGATGAAAGAAACACAAGAACTAAAAGCTCGAGTTGATGGTTGTGCATCTAATCGTGGTGTGAGAGACAGTAGTGAACATTCTTTCGGGCGGAGTGGATCGATATTAAACAGCTGCAATGGTACGGTCCTTGGAGAATGTATGCATTGGTGACACTAGCGTCAAACTTTGTTCTTAATATCTTATTCTGTTCCTTGTGGCAGAGCTTGGTAAAGCTACATACAAGAAAGAAAATGACTCAGTTGCTTATATGCCACATTCTGCTTCTTCAAACTTACATTCAACTGGACAAACTTTGAATGATCAACTTTTCCCGCCAAGGTTGGTTCTATAATGATGCAAAATTGTTGCTTATCATATGCCCTTGTCTGGTTCTTAAGTCTTAAATAAAGATAAATTACTCTGGCTTATCAATATTTTTATTTGCACGACATTTTCAATTATTATTCACCATATGTACAGTTAATGCATTCTCAGAATCCATCTGTATGACTCATGATACCTATTGGCTATTTTTTTATTTTTCTTTGATAAACTTTCCTCATTTGATGAATGGATGTAGTTATATATTTGTGTAACTTTCTTTAGTTTGCTACCTGATGAAATGATTACTCTTCATTTTTAGCCTATATTTTTCTTCTGCAGCAATTCTTTTGATGGTGACTATAGAAGACAATCAATAGGATCAGGTGATGTGATTGATTCATCTATGCAACCATCTTATGGATCACGGTCTTCTTGGGTGGGGAGCACCGTAGAACATGCTGCCATGGCTGATATTGTAAGATTGGGTAGACCAAAAAGTAAAGGCTCACAAATGTCATGTGAGACCCCTTATTCCCTTGAAGATGCTGTTCCACCAAACTCAACCATCTACCAAATGAAACCATCTCTTGCTACTTCAGATTCAAAATTAGGAGCAGACCAAGATTTGCATTTTTTGGATTCAAACATGACTTTTGAATCTGGAAAGAAATCCAGTCAGCATGTTTTTGACAATGAATGGGCTGTTAATGAGCCAATGAAAGGTTCTGATGATATTGGTGGTACGATGTATTCAAATCAATCCAACTTACATAGTAGCAAAACTAACTTGTCAAGTAGGTGCTGGTCAGATAATATTCTAGTATCAGAGAGCAATGTTGGCTGGAAGAATCTTAGTCATAATCATGTCAGCTCTGCTCAAGCATCTAACAAACGAATATTTACAAGTGATTCTGGAGGACCATCTGAATATGATGATGACCTGTGTAAGGATACCGATTCTTATGGGCAAATTTGTGAACGCCTGGAAGGTAAAATTTTAGGTTCTGAGTTTGTTTTCTCAGTTGATTTTCTTTATTTGTTCATATAATCAAACTATGAAAGGTTTTTGTAACATAAGTGCACGAGATGCTATATAATAATCATGGATTCATCTGATCCAGTGTTTGTACTCTGATGGTTATAGCTAACTGTAATGTGTATATATCTTCACATTAGAGTGAAGAACGAAGATATCCTTACAGAATTTATCTAAGATTTTCTTTTGCTCGGTATTGCAACAGTTTTTATGCTTGCTATCATTTCATTTGCTATTTTAGAACATTTTAAAACTTTCACTGCTTATTAGAACCTTTTTAGTTTGGATAGGAAAATGATTGTCTAGTTATATGCTCTGTGCCCTAAACCTTAGCCTGTAGAACCATATGTAGAATGTATGAACTTGTGATAGATACAGAAAAGGGAAGTCATAAATTGTAAATTTACAGTCTTGTTTGGTCCTTTGTAGAAGAAAAACACGAAATGGTGCAGTTTTGTTTTCTTCAACTCCTTGTCCTTAATTTTTTTAATGTACAGAAATGGGTTGGGAGGAGAAGGGAAAAAAGCTCTTAATGTTTTTATTGTGTGTTATTTGAATGGTTGAATGAGAACTACCTTTTTGATCATTTGGTTATATTGTGTTTATTTTATGCTTGCAATGATACAAAAGTTTATTTTTGGATGTGTATTTGCTTTTGACCCCTCTGGTATCTAACCTCTGTAGCAGGTAGAGGTTATAATGCATCTGCTCCAAATCCTTCTGCACCTTTATCCGATGATGCCGTTAAAGCTGCATCATCAGTTGCTGTGAACTTACGACAACTAAGTTTAGGGAAGGAAGAGGAGGTGGTGACTTTGAAAGAGGATAACTGTGGAGTGGTGCTTCCAGATTATTTGCAAGCCCTTTCTGCTGATTGCTCACATTTGAGCTTTGGTACCTACAAATCTGGCAAGAGTACAGCATTGCCCCAGTCACAAACATCTAGTTCCTTGACAAATAACTTGGAAGAGACCTTGATGACTTCAAATTGTTGTTCAACTTCTATGCATTCAGACTTTAGGTATGCATATCCTTAATGAGTTCCAGTTTTGGCTTCTATTCATTAGTTCATGATATTTGAATGCCTTTCTTTGCAGGAACCTGTTATATAATGATAAAGAGCAACTTGACTTTGATTTTGATAGTCATAGAGCAAATGTAGATGCTAGGAACTATAATTCACCTAATTTTTCACAGTCAAATCTTAGGAAACTAGATATTCCTGATGCAGCAACTCTTGGGAATGATTATGTCTCCTTTGCATCTATACCTAATTCAAGTTTCAAGAACATGGAATCGTCTTCCTCTTTGTCTTCTGTGATTGATCCAAATGCACGGAATCTTCCTATTTTGCCAAATGCAGTGGTAAATACTTATCTCTTTGCACTTAAATCTTTGTCTCATTTTCTGCTATAGTAATGGCGGACTTTTATGAAACAAGAGAACACAATTATTTTCTAGGGTGTGCTGTCACAGAGAACAGGATTACTTACATTTTATGAAGATGCAAAGCTTGAGAGCTATTCTCTCTTTCAATTATAAATATTTTTCATCAATTACCTTTCTTAATTAATGTCGGTTACCTGGCAATGCTCAGCATGCTGTATATTCTCTTTAACACCTACTACATTCTTACAATAGCCTTTTCTCCTTGGTACTCATTTTTGAAAATATGGTTTATACTTGCTCGTGCCATTTATTTTTTAATTATTATTATTTTTTGGAGCTTTGCATTGATCTTGTTACTTTTGGGTGCCAGCAATCACACTCCAACTCTATGCCAAGTGATATATTGGCAGCGGCTATTCAGTCTAGAAAAGCAAGAGACTCTGCTGCATTTCTAACATCAGCATCAATTTCATCTAGATACATCAGTTCTGCATCATCAATGAAGAGTCCAATTGAACCCATGTCTCAGGTATGAAATCAAGAATCTTTCTCCTATGTGGCTCCGAATTTTCAAGTTTAAACAAGTGTTAAGAAGGTGTGCTTGGTGTGCGAGGATGTGTTTTTTTGTGAGGCAATAGGCATAAGAAAAGCCTGCCTTGTTGATTCTCTTGATTTTCTTTTATTTAGAAGTTTTTTATTTAGTTGTACATTCACTGGTAAGAGGAGATAGTATCAAACGCTCTTCTCCTTAATATTGGAATATTTAACTACAGACATGGATTGGGATAGCAAGGAAATTATGCCATATCGGCCAACAAAAATTTGCATGATTTGTAGATGAATTAGAGCACTCTTTTGAGTCTGTTATTTATCATATATCATAAGCTTATTTTATATGTATATACAGTATACTGGCTACTGGCCATACATTCTAGGAATGTTCCCACCCTAGACTTGTCTCTTGGGTTAATTTCCTGAAATGTGGGAGGGATAGGCATTCGTTTCAACCTTACAAATGAAAGATCTTTAGACCACTTATTAACTCTATTATTCCTTTGCACAAATTTCTGGGTATTTTCATGTAATTGGTGTCGAGTTTTAGATAAATTAGAAACTACTTTTTTCATTATTGAAAAACCAACACATTTTATCATTAGATTATGTCTTGATTTGAAATGTATGGTGAATCTGGCCTTGTATTTCCATAAAACAAGGATTTGTGTGCCCTGTTGCTGCTTAAATGAACATAAGAAATTATATGTTTATTCAAACTGGTTTGATGATTCAGCTTTTAATTTTGGAGTATTTTTCTTTATCTTAGTCTTCCTCGCAGGTCCTTCATGGTGCCAACTCTGCCACTGGACCCTTACTCAAGGAGCATTGGTATGGATATTATCCTCAAAATAGCTACATGGCACCATCTGCTTTGCGACAAGCATTTCCAGATGGTGGCAATGTGTTCCGTGAACCTCATATAGATATGATGTATGATCGCCAACACTATGGAAGTGCTAGTATGTGCAGCAGCTTGCCTTGGTCGAGTTCTTATGCATCTGGTTATCGAAGTTTAGAAAATCCTTCCCATGCTCCTGGAAGTCCTCTTCAAAATCTATTGTCTGGTTCGGTAGGCAGCAGACTTGCTTATGATAACTTTTTATACTCTCAGTACAGCGATGGTGGATCTAATTTCAACCTACCTCAACAGGTAATAACAATAAGCCTATTTGATGATATGATGCGTACCATACTGCTTATAGAACGGACATTTTTCGTTCTTTTTCTATTATATCATTTGTGTGTTACCAGAATGGTGGCACTGCTGCATGGGATTATAGACATGGATCAAGAACCATATCAACTATTCCGGATAACGCTAATTACAGTTTACACGGGCAAAATCACCTGCTTGCGGGATATCAACAGGGTCAGCAACAATCACAGCAGCAGCTTCACGGAGCTTTGGGATACCCCGGTACTTACGGTTCTCATGCAGCAATGGCAATGGAGCAGCAGCAGCAAAATCGCCGAGATTCGGTTATAAATGCTTCGCAAGGCCCATCATCTAGGCAGTTACCTCAGCCATGGCAGCAGCATAAATATTAACATTCTTTTTGTGTGTTTTTGCCTTTTGGTTATAAAAGCGGCCGAGTAGGATTATGTTATGATGAGATTTCAAATGTATTGGCTTGTTTTTGAGTGCTTTGGCCATGTCCAATTGTACACATACTTGAAAAGAGAAGCACTTGGATTAGATTTTTTTTTTCAAAGGATTTATCAAAATTCATTTTTTGAGGAAATTTAATATCTAAAAGGGAAAAAAAGTAAATTGTATGGGACTGGTTATTATTATGCAAGAAAGAACAATTAGAAGAATAAAGTAAATTGAAAAGGAGAGAATTCAGCTGGCAGTGGCACTCCAGCCACTGATTTCTTCCGAGCTCAAACCCAATCCACAAAGACAAAAACAAAACAATGAAGTAGTAATTGGTGCAATGGTTAAAGATGTATTTTACATTACATTTCGAGTTCAAACAAAATATAGGTTTGAATATTACTCTAGTTTCTTAGCTCTCTATTCAATGTCATTAGGCTATCATGGGTTGATTCAAATTTTAGGAGGATCACGACTTAACTTTAATGGTTTCAAACTTTTTAAGGGTTTAATTTAATTGTACTTCTGTAATTTTTATTGTTAATTACATTTCGTTCCTTTTAAATTAATATTTTAACTCTATTTCTACTACTAATAATTAGTCTACACTATTAAAAAAATTTATTTGCATAGAGTAATAAAGGTAAATAACTTTTCTAATGAATTGGCCTAAAATATTCCAAATGCCACCTCGTCTTAGCAAATTGTTGAGACTGGAAAGATAATTTCCTCGTGGAACAGTTGGCTGCCAATGTACTCTATTCCCCCTTTATATTTGCTCCATCGACATGGCCCAGCTTTCCCATCTGTTTTTTCCAGGGGGCTACACCCTTTTCATTCCTCTCTTAACCACCCCCGCCAACGGTACTAGCGGCGCAGCCAAAGAAGATGCTGAAAATGGGGTTTTCTCTTCGACTACTTCCAGTATCATTTGCCGTCTTCTCTTGGTAATTCTCATCGGAACAATCTCCGTGTGGGCAAACCACGAAGCATCAAAAGGATTCGAGGTAACCATAGTCAACAACCCCGCCGACAATGTCTCTCCCGCGGGGCGACGCTTCCATCTTTTTTACGTATCGAACGACGAAGCCACTCGAATCATCTTGAACACAAGCGCGGTGGTCGAAAACGTTCTTTACCCCAATCAACCCCACCTAACAAAGAAGCCAACTCACCATGTGGTTCTTCAGCTGGCCGCCGCCGGCTACAACCCGTCGACGAACAAAATCGGGGTCGTCAACATGAGCAAAGGCAATGAATCTGTTTATGTCATCAGTTTAAGTCCATCGATAATGGAGGAAAGTAATGTCAAGTACAGTGTCATATCAGCCATACAACGTGCCATGGCTCGTATATGGCTCTGGGATGGCGAGTCCAGTGCCGCTCCACCTTGGCTCATCGATGGCATGGTGGAGTATATATGGACGCGCGTCAGGTTCAGCCACCGTGACGAAGAAACAACACTGCATTTGGGATCGAATATCCGAGAAGAACAGCTTTGTTCTATTCTTTCTCGGGTATGTTCCAAATCGAAGATGAACACGAGTGCCGTATGCAGCGATCATCGGCAATGATCAGGATCAAGAGGTGTTTGCAGGGAAGATGATAAGGACCCGAAGCTCGTGGCAGGGGTTTTGGGTTATTTAGAGAATCGACACAAAGGGTTTGTTCAAGGATTGAATCGGATTTTAAGACATGGGTGGGGTTGAAATTTGAACAACATTATTTTAACTGTCGTTTTTGGAACACTTTCGGATCACATGGATCGAGTTAAACACCGCCATTAATTTAAGAACAGCGATGGGATAAGGATGAGGACATACCATTGTTATCGCATGATAGAAGGTGAACAATTATTCTCAACAATTATCCAAAAATGTATGATGAGATGTTATCCTAAATTCAATAAATTTAAGATTTAAATTAAACATTTTCAGTTGTTTATTATTAAAGTGAACGTGTATTAATGTTTTTTTTATGAACTTTTTCCATGGGTATTGATGATACAATATAAGAAAGGGTGTCATTGATGTTGAAGTTTATCCTTTAAAATTTACAAAGGGACATTTGGTTTGTTGAAAAGATTATTATCCGAAAATTAATATTTTTTGAAATTTTAATTTTATATTTAATTTGTCGGCCTTTTTTTCAAAAAATCATCAGTGATTGGTATATTTACCGATCTAACACCGGTCAGATTATATTTCCTGATCTAACATCCGTAGCAGTAAACGCACTCCTTGTCTCGCGCTATATGTTGATTTGGCGCCACGTGGGGTATAGCGCGCCTCCTGTACCGCGCTATACGCTGACATGGCTTACACGTAGGTATAACGCGCCCCTTGTTCTGCGCTATATGCCACGTAGGGGTATAGCGCCACCCCTGCTCAACGTTATACCTGGTAAGAAGGTCCGCGCTATACCTTTTATCTGAATAATTACATATAGCGCGGTGCAGGTACCGCGCCTTATAGGGTTATAAATACCCTTCCCTTCCGCTTAAGTTTCTCACATCTCCTCACATCTCTCCTCTAAACTTATAAATTAATACAACAATTCCGTCAACGAGTAATAATTCTGGTAATTTTCTCATATTTAATTTAGAAGTTCGTGCGATTTTTCGTTATAATTTTTTATTATACTTATTGTTTATTATGATTATTTGAAAAAATATTATACTAATTATTTTCAATTAATTTTTGAAAAGCAGGAGCATACGTCAAAATAGTTTTGCAGTGCAGGTAATAATATAAAATTATATTATTTAAATTATTTACGTTGATGTGTAAAATATTTATTGTGTTATATTTTCGTTCATATATAATTTATTTAATCAGGTTTGTTTCAATTTTTTTTGCAGATATAATATTACCGCACTTTTAAACTCAAAGAATGACGCGATTTTCAGCTATTGTTTATTATGATGGTGAAATTCGAGAAGATGAAACCGACATTGTTTTCATATCAAATGAGCGTATTAAAATATCATTCAAGAGAAACATAACTCTTGAGGAGCTGATAACGAAGATTTCGAGGAAGATTCATGTTGGAAGTAGTACAAGAATGTCGTCGTTGCAGTACAGATTTCCAACATCATTGTTGCCATTAACTTATACAGCGTTTGAACTTTCGAACAATGATGATGTTCAAATGATTGTTGAAGCTCAAAGTAATTATTCAGACGCCGCTATTGAGATGTATGCACATTTTGTTTAAGTGCGTGTTGTTCGGGGTCAATCATTAAGCTCCCACTATGGGCTGGCTGAACAAGTTGATCAAGTTGACAACCCAACTACAGTAATGTATAATGATTTTAATGTCATAATGGGGAGACATTCATCCGCAACTCCTTACGATATGTACCGAGATGGGTCCACGAACAATTTGTATGGCAACACCGCGTCCAATTCAAGGGGAAGGCATTCATCTGCAAATTTCTTTGACCATATGGAGATGTCATCGACGCAATCATCTGTGCAGTTTCCATTTGACACGATGGCTTCAAACTCCAGGGGGAGGCATTCGACTGCGAGCTTTTTTGACGTCAATGTCGATATGCCTTCCAGTTCAAGGGGAAGGCATGCAAGTAGTAGGTTCTTCGACCTAAATGTGGAGAGCATGGAAGAACCATCATCTCCACCAGAAGAACCACTTCGTGAGCCTGGTGCTGAGACTGGACTATTCATTCACCCAAAATCACCACAATTCAACTCCGACGATGATGAAGTTCTAGGAAATGTGGTACAAACTGACCCTCCTGCACATATGTATGAAGCTAATTATGGTGCAATGTACGGGCCAGAATTTGCGGATATGCCTCATCTCGGTGACTATGAATATTACTCATCAATAAATAATGGTGAGTTATATTTAGGCATGGAGTTTTCAAGCAAAGAAGAAGCGGTGATGGCTATAAAAAAATTACAATATCTGTAATTCTGTTGAGTCCAGAGTCAATCGATCGACGACTGAAAAATATGTATGCTATTGTGCCCGACGCGAAAACGGATGCAATTAGATGGTTTGCGTATCGAAAATGAAGAGGAAAAACAACATATGGGAACTAACAGTATACAACGGTCCTCACACATGTTGTGCTGGAGGGGTCAACCAAGATCATCCCAACTTAGACTCTGAAATGATATGCCAAGCCATCATGCCCATGGTAAAAGCAAGCTCTCATATAGTTGTTGTTGTGTTGATTTCAGCTATACAATCGCAGTATGGGTACACTGTCTCCTATAAAAAAGCTTGGTTGGCAAAACAAAATGCCATTGTCAAACTTCATAGTGAATGGGATGCATCTTACAACAAACTTCCAGGTTGGTTTAGGCTGGTGCGGACGTTGAATCCTGGGATAATTGTGGACTTCGAAAGCTCCTACGCATACCATAATGATCGAGTTCTTCGCGATCGAAGCCAATTCTACCGGGTTTTTTGGAGTTACCCACAGTGCGTTAATGCTGCCAAATACTATAAGTTTGTGGTCCAGATCAACGAGACTTTCTTGTATGGAAAATACAAGCAAGTTTTATTATTGGCAGTTGTCCAAGATGGCAATCATAACATTATTCTAGTTGCTTTTGCTCTTGTCAAAGGTGAAGATATAGATTCTTGGGCTTTTTTCCTCCGAAATTTACGTGCATATGTTATCACAAGGGAAAACATCTGTGTCATTTCAGATCGCGGAGATGGGATCAAAGCAGCAATGGAGTCTTTGGGTCCAATGTGGCAACCACCCTTTGTCCAACATAGGTATTGTCTCCGACACATTACTCCGAACTATCATGGAAGGTACAAGAAGAATGATGAGCATCAATTAATTGTGTGCATGGTAAGTGAAACTGATGTAGTTTGTTTTCTTTCAATCGTTTTAATTTTGCAAAGAAAGAAAGTTAGTAAGTTATACATTTTTTATCAGGTTACGAACTACTTCCTCGAACGTTTGAATTAATTCTTCAAGATTTACGGGTGAAGAACGAGGAAGGATACGACTACATCAGCCTCATCGATAAAAAAATATGGACGAACGCATATGATGGTGGATATCGATATGGACACATGATGACCAACTTGGCTGAGG